TTACTGGTGTGGCGTCAGGAACCAATTTGGTAATTTTCCCCACGAATTGATTAATTCGTAATATTGTTCTGCCATCCCCTTCGCTACATTCGTTCTGCAATGCTAATCATTTCCGCTTCCTTTCTGAAGTTCACAGTCCAGAATCATATACTTGAATTCAATGATGGCAATAACGGATTCCCTATGTGACTTTTACCTATGGACAACTCGTACAGTTATCTGTCTCCGGCTGTCAAGCCACACAATTTGAACGTATGATCGGCTCGATCCACTTTTACGCCGATGGAAAAAACATACCTGCCTATTTTTTACATTAACGATATCGTACCTCTTTCATGTAATGCTTCTTTTTCTACATTCTTCTTTATTTCATTGTTGGCCACGACTGGGCTGATCTCCTGTGGTAACGGATTATAACTTCCAGACTATAAACGACTTTACCTATGCAAGGCACATTGCCACAAATTAACTGGCATATAAAAAAATGCCATAATTGAATGATCCGCAAGACGGACTGAGCTGAGGCTTCATCGCTCATAATACATGTATAAAAGCAGCCCTAAAAGAACAGAACATATGATAAACAGGTGATGGCTCATATGCTACCATGCCACACCGGCACGCGGCCAGGTATTGCAGGGAATGCGGGGGAAACCTTTCGAGGGAATACCTTGCATGGAATCAGGTCCCCTGGGGACGGTTCCACGAGTGGCCGTATTACTTTAACTGGACATCTGTTTAAATCTGCATATGTTATTGTTCCTGATTTATTTAATTTCTTTAATACATTATTCCTGCCAATTACTTTAGTATCTGTTTTGGATCCATTGTAAAAAGCGTGAACAAATTGATTATTTTTTCGATCCTGTTGTACACATTGATCAGACCACATAGTCGGACTGCACTTCAAATCGTCGAGGAATATACCATTTTTTATTTATTTATTGATATAACAGATGAGTTATATATGACGCTGGAAAAAGAACAAACACTTGACATTATAATGTTGCAGCACAAAGACAAACCGTTCGTTGAGACATCCGAAACTCGGCAGGCCTTCAATCACTTAAAGTTGTGCATAGCAAAGTATCCAGCATGATTACGCATACCCGGACCGAGTGAAATGTTCACTGTGGCGGTCGACGCAAGTAACGTTCGAATCAGTGAGTTGCTGTTATTATCAGCGTCGTCATCGTCATCAACATCATCATACGCGTTAGCTAGAGATGAAAATCACCTCAGCTATTGTGCCACAATACATAAACGAAAAATAATGCAACAAATGCAATCCAGTTGAGCTACCGGTAACAAATGGGCATCGTTCCGATAAGCTACCAGCCGGCCACTATTTAGCAAAAAATAGTTAATATGCAAAATTATATTAGGCTAAGTGGTGAGATCCTGGTTGGAGGGGGAGGCTAAGAGGAATGGGAGTGACAAAGAAACTCACAGCACGCACGACATTGAGGTTGACTTTTAGCCATGTCAGAAAGTGTATCCAGTCAAACGTGATCATTGTCTTTCGGATTTCAACCAGGGAGGTGAGACGCTCCAACCGAGGCCAGCTTCAAAGTGAGGGCCTTCCTTCCTATCGACCAAGTCATCGCTTGGCCACCCTCCTCTTCTTCCATCCACACCCCCGGCGCGCAAACGACTACTTAAGGCACCGGCAACCAAGAAGATGACCGTGTTGCGATCGCTTTTGGCAGCGGACACACAGTTTTCATGCTTAATACCGTCAGCGGTAACTTATTTGCACTCGCTACAGCAACTCTTACACAAAAAGCAACCTTAGAATCGGAACAGGGTACAAGAAGGTGCTTTTAACGCTTGTAAGAAGTTTGTGGCATTTGCCGAACTTCTTGTGCATTATAACACAAGAAAGCCAATTGCTTTTTCTTATGATGCTTCGGTCTCTTACTTGGAGCTGTATTATCGCACAAACTACCGGACGGCTCTCTTCGACCTAGTGATTATACTTCACGAACCTTGATGGCATCAGAACGTATTTACTGTCAGCTTGATTGAGAGGCAGCCGCGGTTGTTCCCGCTACTAATCGGTTGCGTCAATACCTACTCGGTCGAATATTCATGATTTACACAGACCATAAACCACTTGTATCAATTTTCGGCCACTATAACGGGACTCAGCAAATGGCCTCACCCAGACTGGTCCGTTGGGTCTTGATTCCCTTTGCATATACGTAGCAAAATCAATTCCTCCTTCGCAGGCAAAATACCACTTCTGATGCCCACAGTCTGTTGCCCTTACCAGAAGTACTTTGGGAAGAATTTACGCCACTGGAACTCGTGAATCTGATGTAAGACCTTAAAAACTCCCGTCAACTCAACAGACGTAGGCCGAGAAACCGATAGAGACCCTACTTTAGCACTAGTGAAACCCTACGATCAGGTCGGGTGGCCAAAAGTACGACCAGATTGACCGAATTCAGTTTGTATAACGGGTGTGTACTGTCGGGAACCCCGGTGGCAATCTTCAAATAGCTACGATCGGTTACTCTGGATGGACTGCATGATGCACATCCTGGAGTCGCTAAATGAAGTCACTAGCTTGTGTTTATGTGTGATGGCTTAATATAGACAGGGACATTGAGTGAAAAGTTGGGGATAGCGTGCTTTGTCAGGGGAATCGGAACGCTGTGACCCATGTGCTATTGCAACCAAGGAAGTGGCCAGAAGCACCATGAGAACGTATACACGTCGACTTTCTTGGGCCTTTCAAAGGTAGAATGACTTGGTTGATCACTGATGCGCATTCCAAGTGGATTGATGCCCACGTCCTGACTACAGCAAATTCAGCTAACACGATAGTTAAACAGTGCACGAAGTTTGCAACCTTCGGTCTCCCGGAAACACTAGTGTCAGATAATGGAACAGCATTCACCAGTGCCGAATGTACTGCCTTTCTTTTCTCAAATGGCATTCGACACTCAACTACTACGCCTTCTCACGCATCATCAAACGGTTTGGCTGAGACAGCTGTGCAAACAACGGAGAATATTTTACTGAAACATCCAGCAGCCCCCTGCATATGTGTATAGACCATGCATTTTTCGCTTATGGAAACATGGCGAACGAAACCACCGATAGAATAAATAAATAAATAAACCTTTTATTCCTCGACAGTGCGAGGCACAGACCAATTGAGTGGTCTTATTGACATGTACGGCGTGATCGCATAATATAGTTAATTGAATGTTTTGTTCAATGATTCCCATGTGGGTTTTTGAGGTGATTAGCAGTTTGAAAATAGTAGAGAGATTAAGAAACTAGGAACAATAATAAATGTAGATTTGACGGAAAGTTAAAGTAAAGTAATACGGTCATCCATGGAACTATCCCAATCGAAATCGTCAAACAGCTATACCTAAGAAAAGCTTCAACTTAAAATTGGATGGAAAAGGTAAGCAGGAAGATGACACATGCATAAAATGCTGTATGGGTGGGGGATCAACATCCTCACTCCACACGTAGGCGTGAGAGTGAGAAACATGCCCCAACCTTTGTACTGGAGTACACATAGATAACACATGTGAGAAAGCGAGATGCACTGTGTTACATAATGAAAAGGAAAATACAATTGGCAATGTGATTCGTCTCAAATAATGCGTCGAAAATGGGATCGTGTTTGCAGGGAGAGGGTGAGCGAAAGATGGAGGGAAAGTTTAACTCCGGACACAAACATCATGGAGGTCGATTGCAGGTCATATCAATAAGTGTGTGTATTCAGATGTGGTTATCGTCTTTGGTACCCATCATTGCAGTCGGAACGCACTGACCGAGGCAAAGTTTGAAGCGAGAGCCTTCATTCCTCTTGTACAAACCGCTTTTTTCTTCATCCATGCTTACTCCGATCACACAAATAATACATGTCGCGAGAGTCGGTATAGTGGCATGTTTAACACACGATCCAGTCATCGGAGCCTGTTGGACGAAATAATGAGGCTGAGCAGTTCACCTAATCTCCGTGTATTAATAACGTGACTCCGAACTTGCTCATGACTTGCGTGGTATTCTCATCAGATGTAAACAAGAAATAAGCAATGCTGTGCTTAGTTCTGGGAAAGGTCTAACAGATGAAGCCTCAGCGAATGCGAAATGTGCCCATGTATCAAAAGCGCTGCGGTTCGAACTCGTCATTTCCAGCCTTGATGCGTGTCCACGGTACTCATGCTCATACGGACTATAAGAAGTCTTGGGTACTTGGTGAGAATCAGGCAGCAGCGTATGTAAACGAAACCTCGTTGACTTTGATGAGCTGGATTCCCAATTCCCAGAGGGTTCATGCATAGGTGAATTTCTGATTGCGGCGACGGAACTCCGTAGGCCACTACAAGGGCCGAATCATTCTAGGGCATCTGAGCCTGATGCAATTCTCCCAAAGCTGTTACACGGATCGGCTGCAGAACTAAGTGGACCACTCGCTATCGTGTTTCAGAAACCGCTTGACAGCTTACATTGCCTTCCGAAAGGAAGGAGGCTTTAATATGTCCGATCTTCAGTAATAACAACAGTCAGCATTGCTAGTTACAGGCCAGTTAGTCTGACCAATTTAGTAGTCAAACTCCTTGGAAAAACTGGCGAGAGATTCAGTGAAGGGTCAACTGAATAGGTTTAAGCTACTTGGCAAGCATAAGGCGGATACCCGACGGGATTCACATATCTGACGAATTTATTGGTAGCTCACAAAAGTTGGGCTGATATTGGGGACAACAGCTACGCACTGGACGTGCTTTTCAAAGGCCTTTGAAATGCCACCTCATTAGAAGCTTGAGCAAAGCTGCAGAGGAGGTCCGCCTGAGCGGGCGGCGTTGAATTGTTTTAAGGGTCGAATCACAAAAGCAAGTTCCGCCTTGCCGGGTGCACCAAGGGAAACGATGCAGGGCGTACAGCTAAGTTCGCAGTGCATACAACTGGCCGGTGGGGGCCAAGTGAACTGGGAATAAATATGTTCGGCTCATCGATCTAAGCATCCCTGTAAATCAGCAATCGTTTAACCATCCGCTTTGCAAACGGTCTCAATGACAACAGGCTTTCTATGGTCAGTGTATCAAATGTGCTCGACTAGCTTGTGAGTCTTATCATACAGGGCAGCGACCACCATTTCCGAAACATGACAAATTCACCAAGCTTCACGAACACTGCGTAGGCTCTGTTGAAGCCGCCGATTGACAGAACAGCGTCCTTGGGAGCAGTTTTTCTGCTGACGGCACTATCAGCAAAGAAGTTTCTCTTCCCATCGCAAACGATATAAGCATGCAAATTACGAATTGCAAACTCACAGTTAAACTGTACATGAAAGGGTACTTCCGATCCGGACGAGTCTTGAGCGCCGTCTGAATTTTGAATACATGCGGGCTTACTGAACTTGCTTCATGTCAACTCAGAGATCATTGGAATATCGGAAGCAGCGTCCAGTTGAAGCAGGACAGAAGCACCGTTTATCACAATCGTAATATACTTCCGCCGTGACTAATATCTCGGGCTACTGATTACAAACACCACGTCTGAAACGTAACTTTGAAAACTTGGTTTTGCCGAAGTTTCGTGACAGTATTCCAGAAACTCTCAGCAGACATCTGATTTGCTTAAGTCCCATATACCCACAACGCTTGCAAATATATTGCCTGAATCCACAAAATCGAGCGAAATGCCACTGACCACAGTGCAAACAAGCACTAGGCGAGCGGCCTCGGCATGCGAAGTCGGAGAGACGTACTGAATTGTGCGATGGCCTGGGTTGTGTAGGAATAATGTGAACATGCACCACACAAGACTCGGTGTACCGTTCTATTATATCTGTGTCATGCATCAGTGCCAACATACTTTCCGATTCCTGTACAAGCATCAGTAGGGAGACTACTGGATAAGACCCCAACCAAAATAATCAACGCACTCAAATCTCCGCATTTTTAGAGAAGGTAATCCGCAAAGAAGCTAAGCTGCATAAGTCACAAAATCACCCTCCTTGTGTTTAAAAACTTTGAACAATGAACAATGAATTTATACGGGTTAAGAAGCGTTGCTTTACAAGTCCCGTTGGATAGTTGGTGGGGATATCAACGTAACAATAATGATAATAACGATAGTAACATAGTTAATACTTAAAATTTGAAAATAAGGACTTATCGCTTGCTTCGCTGTAGTCCTGCGATCCTCTTAGATTCGCAGCACCCACAGTTAACAACAAATAATTCCATGGTAAACTCCAGTAGTAGGATGGAGACGTAGTGTTAAGTAACAAAGTGTAAGTGGATGAGTGCATCGTCCAACCGTCTTTTAAATACTGTTAGTGTCGGTGCAGAGACGACCGATTCTGGGAGAGCATTCCACGGGTGACAGACACGAATGGAAAAGAAATTTCTGCGGCACTCCAGACGACTGTATTTTTCTGCGAGTTTTAATGAGTGGCCCCTCAGGTTTGTATTGCTGCTGAGTTGCAGTAAAGGGCGGCACACATGATGTGGGTCTCGCAGAATCAAGTATGCCATAATCAGGTCGCCTCGTAGTCTGCGATAGCTTCCACTGAACAATCTCCTGGTAGGAAAGATTGCGCATTCCAATTACGTTCTTAGATGCCCGGCGTTGTGGCTGCTCCAGTGAATTAAGGTCGTGTTTCAGCCATGGATGCCAGGCTTGAATTGCATATTCGACATGGGGGCGAACATACGCACTGAGCATTTGTCGAAATATGGAGCTGTTTATTTGTCCAAATGCCCGCCTCAACAGCCCGACGTGTTGGTTCCCGGTCTTCGAGGCCTTCTCGGATTGCCTGGAGCAACCCAAGTCATCTTGAACCAGGACACCCAAGTCACGTTCGACAGTTGATTGTTGCAGTGCATCTGTTCCGAGTCGGTATGAGTAGCTGCTCTGATGGCGGATAGAAAGCACCTTGCATTTACTGACGTTGAAATGCAATAAGTTTTGGGTCGACCATTGATACACTGTATCTAAGTCACTCTGAAGCAGATGATGGTCGACGTTCGCCTGGATTCTGCGCCAGATCTAGATATCGTCGGCAAACATTAGGAAGTTTGAAACGATTCCTTGTGCAAGGTCATTAATGAACACCAAAAACAAACGTGGACCTAGAACTGAGCCTTGCGGCACTCCACACTCAACTTGTATGGGGTCCGATAAAGAGCTCCGAACTCTGACCACTAATTGCCGTTGAAGTAGAAAGTTGGCGATCCAGCTTAAAAGAGGGTCTCCGATCCCGTAATGCTGCAGCTTGGATAGTGGAATCCGATGGTCTAGACCAGTGGTTCCCAACCTTTTAGACGCCGTTACCCACAAAGGGGGTTGCCCACCAGACTTTTACCCCCAAACTTTCGAAAGACTACTACGTAATAACTATTGCACATTTCGCTCTAAAGTTCAAAAACAATCTCATATGTAGTTTCACGTGCTCATGCAATTGAAGGGAACACCCCTTCTCACTACATAATTATCCGACTTAAGTACGAGAAGTGATCGGTATCCGGAATCTCCCTCGACAAATAAACGAAAGAAAACAGTACTTTTTATTCAAAATTCTATGCAAACAAGAGGCGACAAACATCAATTAGACGGTTGGTATTGTTTGGTGGTAACAATTTCTGGTATATGTGGTGCAGTTTTGGCCAATGCATATCGCAAGTCGTGCTCCGAGTTCATTCGATTCCTTGATTTTGTTTTCATTACCATCATTGTTTCGTTCGAAGTGCTCTTTCAATTTACTAGGTTTCGTACTCTCCGTCGTGAGCACTTTGCTTCACAAAACACATTGCGGTTTCTCAGCCTTTTTATCACCGAAGTTAGTGAAGCCCCGCAGCAGAAATGCTTCTTTGTAGGACCGCTTATTTCTGGAAGACGTATTCCCTGCAAACAATTAAGTAGGTAGATGTTGTAGATATATATCATTTATAGAAATTATTCTCGTTATTCCATGCTGGTGACATTATCGCAAACGTTCGCAGACAAATATATTTTTGTCGGCAGCAAATCCACTGAATGAAAGTGCTCACCTGCCATGACTTCTCGTCAAAAGCAACTGCTCATGAAAGTGATCAACATAACACTTAATGGTCACTGGCGTCCAATCTGCTGATTCTAAATTGGTTGTGCCCCCAATGGTATCGTTTCTCTGCCCTTTCAAACGCCTACCGTTATCCCGATTCCGGCCCTCTCCTGATCCCATCGTGTCTG